AGAGTTCAACAATAGTACCTGTAAGAGCAAAGGCAAAAGTTCCATTTTTTTCTTTGAGAATTTAAAGCACAAAACCACAGCTAAATATGCCGCACCCTACCCTCAACCTCACCACAACTGAGAAAAGCTCTCTATGCTCCAGGGACACCATCAAAAGCTTAAGCTATTACATCAACTCCACGGTGCCCAGAAAACAAAAATGCTTGTATACAAAATTGTGATAAACTGTCATGGTACACAATGGCTCCCTGTCAGAACCCCACCAGAAGGTGCTGGACCAGCTGTTACAGCGCTTCCTGAGGAACTCTCCCCAAGCCCAGCGACTGCAAACATGACTAATGCCATCACCCAGCACTATTAGTATCAGTGAGCATCAGAACGGACATAATTCTTGGCTGTGTGTGGACTACTGCTCAATAAGAGATTCTGACAACATCAATTACGTGAATAACAACATCACTATCCATTTCATTCGGAAACAGAAAAAGGCTAAACAGGCAAAGTAAGGAGTAATTAGAATAATCTGTTCCCTAAATAGAGAATGCGTCAAAGCAGATTGCTTTGAAAACATTTTAACTTCAATACTGAGTTTAGTAAAAAGGCACAAACATATATTTAAACCTACGTCTAAAATGAAATCTAAAAATAATCAAAGGTAATCCTTTAAATCTGGGTTGAAGATTAGCCTATTCCACAGAAGCATCTGGTTGTGTTGCAATCTTTAAACCTTGGAAACGAGATTAGAAATCCACTGTTTTTAAACTTAATTTCTAGTTACTTTATCTGGGTCACAGATAATCTGCTCTTGCTAACTCTAAAACGACATCAGATAATCATTACTGTGATTATCCTGTTACCTTCTACTAATAATAAGACGACAGAATCTTCCCTCTTGCATGGAGAGAAATGACTTATTTATTCTAAGAACAAATAATGAGGAAAAATTACTGAAAACAGATGTGCTGCTTCCTCAAAGCCTCAATCTAAACCTAAAAAAGCATTTGTTTTGCCTGTTTGTTGTCTAATAGGACTATATTCAAGTTACGTAGCGACATAGTTTATATAATGAAATAATACTCCTACTGGTGTTTTCCCAAAATGCCTCCTGGTCTTTGGAAGCAGGAATAGGGGAGGAGGAAGACTCCAGTGGAAGGATTAAATTTACTGTGATTGCTTTTCCTCTTTGTCTTTCTTATGCTACCTAACATATTCATCACTTCTTCCACACTGTGAGAGATGCATGGATTCAAATTATGACAGAAACATGTCCAGGCGTGAAATTTCCTGTGGACAGCCTTAATTTTTTTCATAAAATGAAAACAGCAAGCATACTGTATTTTTTTTAAAAGAGTAAGCACAGTCTCTATATTTTTAACTGTAATTAAATATTAAATTTTATTTTATTTAGCTACTAGTAATTCATTAGATTTAAAATTAATACTGAGGTTTAAAACCTCAAATAATTAAGCTTTAAAGAGCCTTAAATCAATGTGAGGAGGAGTGCATGCTGGAAACCTTAAAAGAATTTTTCTTAATCCAAAAAGACTGATGCTAGAAGGTCACTATGAAAACCCAGGTAAATGGAATTGAAGTTGACTACAATTGTTCAAAATACCTGGATTCAAGAGGAAGTAGGGTGAGTAGAGACTGGGCTAACAAATGTCTACTTTAAGACTGCATTCTTTTTTGAATGTTTCACAAATGCATAATTTCTACAGACATCAGAACTGTCTAGTACAGAGTATTCTGAGAGGGTACTATATGTATACAGAAAGAAATGAAACTTTTGAAGAAAGCATTATATAATAAATGTGGTTTCTACTTAGTTCTAGAAATACCAAAACATCAGAACCAACCTCCTCATCTTAAGATAATGAAATGCTGTTCAGTGTTATAGCAAAAGAAAAAATCAGGCAATTTGAAAAATATTAACACTTTGGTAATATGGAATAGAGTCAGGACAGAATCCAATAATACACATCCTTCCAAACCAAGAAATTCAATAAATAACTTTAGGGTCAACTCAGAAGTGAACACTCAAATTTTAGACTGGGGATTCTCAAAAGATTTTGAAGCTTTTGCTGCCAAACAAACCCTCTCTCTGAAGCTTCTGGGGCTGCTGGGTGAGAAAGAACCTGCTGCCCCCAGCTATAAACCCCAACGGCCCTCATGGGTAACTGGTATTCTTAGCAGCAACATCCCAGATGTCCATTTCCAGTCATCCGTAAGATAGCGAAAGAAATCTGAGAATTCTCATTCTGGGGTATATAAATAGATACCAATGATTTTGGTAAATCCAAAAGTGAAATTTCAAAAAATCCAAGTATAATCTGGTAATTCTGACATGACTTACAGACAGACTATAAAGTAACTGTGAGTTAGTGTAAAAGTAGAGAAAAGATTTTAGGCAAAGACCTACTCTCATCTTCACCACTGTTCTTAATACCATGTTATCATCATTAGAGAAGTCACGAGATACTAGAAAATATTTCAAGCTGAGTAACAATAAAAATAATTTGAACAGACATTATGCAATCATGAACAGCCAATAAGAAGATGAAGGAAAAAAATGGAAATAAGTATTAAGCTCTATTAATGACCTGCATGGTGAACAATTTGATGCCTGCAATTTATTTTGATACGTCTCAAAACATATAACAGATTGACAGACAGTTGGACATGAGATAAAACAAATATTCTAATGTTAACTGTGGTTGGGTATTCACTATAAAATTCTTTATAATTTCCTGTGTGTTTAGTGTTTAGTGTTTTTCCTATAAAACCTAGGGAGGAAAGGTTATGATGAGTACCGTAGAAAGTATGCAAACACAGGTTTGTACAAGAGGTACGTTTCCCTCCGTTTCTGACTGCATTCTTCCAGTTTTATGCCAAGGCTAGTTACCACTACCTGTAGCTAGCTCCCCGCCCCCAGGCAAACACTAACCTCCTTTTTGTTTCTACAGACTTGCCTATTCTGGACGTTTCATATAAATGGAACCCCACAAATACAGGGCCTTTTGTGACTTGTTCAAGGTTCTTCCGTGTTCCCAGCATGTATCAGTACTTCACTTCTTTCCATGGCAGAATAAGAGCCATTGTACGGATATCCCACATTCTGTACATCCGCTCGTCAGCTAACAGATACCTGGACTGCTCTCAGTTTGGGGCTATTATGTATGAATAATGTTGCTATAAATATTCATGTACAAATGTTTGTACGGACATATGTTTCATTTCTCTTGGGTATCCACCTAGGAGAGACACTGCTGAATGAAATGATAATTCCATGTGTAACTTTTTCAAGAACTGCCAGACTGTTATCTGTCTGGGCTGTTTTCTGTCCGCACGAGCAGTGTGTGAGGGTTCTGATTCTCTAAGCCCGGACCAATCTTTGTTATTACCTTTTTTTTTTTTTTTTAATTACAGTTATCCTAGTGTGTGTGAAGTGGCACCTCATCCTGGTTTTGATTTTCATTGCCCTGATAACCAGTGATGTTGAGCATCTTTTCATGTATTTGTTGTCCATTGGTGTAACCTCTTTGAACAAATATGCATTCAGATCCTCTGGCCATGTTTTAATTAGGCTGGTTTTTAGTATTGCGTTATAGGAGTTCTCTATCCTAGATTTTTAAAAGCCCCTTATTAGACATAGGATTTACAAATATTCTTTCCCATTCCATGAGCTGTCTTTTCACTTTTTGATCGTGTACTTTGAAACACAAAAGTTTATAGTTTTATTTATCCATTTTTTCTTGGTTGTAATTTTCTTGTCGTATCTAAGACACTATTTCCTACTCCAAATTTTACTCCTATGTTTTCTTCCAAGAGTTCTATAATTTAGATCCTACATTTAGGTCCACAATCCAATTTTAGTTCATTTATGTATATGGTGTGAGGTAAGGGCCCAACTTTATTCTTTTCCATGTGTATATCTCGTTATCCCAGCAGCATTTATTGAAAAGACTTTTCTTTTCCCTGGTGAATAGTTTCGGCACTCATGTTGAAAATCAATTGACTATTTGTACATACATCTCTGGACTTTCAATTCTAGGTCATTTACCTATACATGTATCCTTGTGTCAGTAGCATACTTTCTTGATTATTGTTACTTCACAGTAAGTTTTGATAACCTTTTTTTCTTGCTATACATTGTTTTTACTGAACATATTCTGATAAACACTTATTTTTACATATACAATACATATGCTATACAGAATATAACAGTGGGGATCTTTTTTTAACATACATGCTTATTTACACACGTCAACAAATAGTTTCTATAAAACAAATGTGTAGAGGTTGACCAAAATGACTGAGTTTTAAGGTCTGATACACACTAACAATTCACCTTTCAAAAAGATTATGCCAATTTATTCTCATCAACTATGTAGGAGAAAACCTTAACCTACATCTTCTACAATGCAGCGTATTACCAAACTTGCACATCCTTACTCAACGTAATTTTTCTCACTTTTTGAACTTCTCTGTTGTGATAAATCCTACTTTGCTAATAAATGCATGCAAAAAAAAAATAACAATAAGACCCAATTACTAATAAAATGTTTCTACCAGCAACTCCATTTTTTGGAATTTATCTAAAATTGTCTTAAATAGTTTCAAGAGGAAAAAGAGATGTTCAAAGTAGTCTTATTTGTAATATAGAAAAAAAGATTACAAACTAGATGCTGATCAACAGGAAAACTATTAATTAAAATATGGTATAGTCCCTAAACAGTATATCCAAATATTAAAAACTATAAACATGGAGTCTGTAGCCATATAGAATATGCAAATTTTTAAAAGCAGGAAACAAAACAGTATATATACTCTGTACACTGATTATCACTACTTTAAAATTACACAGGCACATGGGAATGAAAATACATAAATGACTATGTGGTAATTTTCTCCTTTAATATCTAAACTTTCTGTCACTTAGGATTAGGTTCATAATTAGGAAATGTGTTCATAAATACATTACATTAAAAAAATATACTTACTGTGATGATGCCAATTAGTTGAGTATAAAAAAGTCCCGTTATCCCAACTAACATAGTAATGCCCATAAAGGCAGCTAGTCTCATTATGGCCAATTCATGTCTAAAAACAAAGAGGTCCTATAAGAAGAAGAAAAAAGAAAGACTTAAAAACAAATTGAAAAGTTACTTATAATTTCAGTAACACTCAAGAATTAACCTATAAGGGGCGCCTGGGTGGCTCAGTGGGTTAAAGCCTCTGCCTTTGGCTCAGGTCATGATCTCAGGGTCCTGTGATCGAGTCCCGCATCAGGCTCTCTGCTCAGAGGGGAGCCTGCATCCTCCCTCTCTCTCTCTGCCTGCCTCTCTGCCTACTTGTGATCTCTGTCTGTCAAATAAATAAATAAAATCTTAAAAAAAAAAAAAGAATTAACCCATAACATTGTTCCTTATTATCTTAAAAAATACTCTCCCCCTTTTGAGTTTACTCCACTTAATCACTATATAAATATTTGAAAATTTCAAAAATAATTGCTTTTAATTTATAGTAGCATGCCAAAAAATGGGATTTTTACTGCTCTCGTGTCAAAAAACCTCAATCTTAAAGTTGCAAATTAGCCACATTTATTTACCATTTGTAGCAAAAAACAAAAGAAAACAAAAACCTCCAAAAAACACAAACAAAACATACAGTGTACAATCTTTGGTTACACAAAAGGAAATTTTATTATTATACTTCTAAAGAGTTGAATGCACAAGCCTGATTCACAGTATTGAAGTTCAGGTGACCAAGATAGCCGAGATTATGTCACTTAGTCAAAACGAGGGGGAAATATTAATGATGGGATCTTGTGGACAAGTTCTCTTTAAGCCTACTTCATCCATCCATCCATCCACTCGATTACCACTGCCAAGCGTGGCGCTAAGTAACAGAAAAAAGTAAAAACGAGAAAGATATGGTCCATGCCCTGAAAAAGTTGCAGCTTATTTAGAGAGAGAAGCCAACTTCATGAAACTCCAAACAGTGTGATCTATGCTCTAACAGGGATGCATGCAGAAGACTGTGGAAACACCAAGCAATGCCTAGACAGGAAGGAGAAATGTAAATGCTGTGAAGGAACGCTGATTTCCTGGCTCATGGTATAAAAATAAGTGTCTCAAAAGTGAACCCAAGAAAGTGGTGGAAAGACAGGAAAACAAGAAGCACTTCATTTTCTCTGTAACCAAGCAGACAGACCAGAGCAGTGAGATGGGAGTTCTGGAAACCTCCCGCTGCTAAGCTGTGCAGTAATACTTCCACAGTGGACAGAAGCAACAGATGAACGGAAAGACCCCCGAAAACATAACCACCCACATGCCTTTTTAACACTGAATCAGGTTCAGGCTTATGGGTATCCTGGTAGCGATGTCAAAAATAGGGAGGTCACCGAACATAAGGAGCTTGCTTGAAACAAAAAAACTGATGCTTTTCGGTGTAGCACAATGACCACCCACCAGACTCAAGCAGAAATCGGAGTCTATACCCAAACCACTCAGTTCATACAGCAGTCAGAAATCAGGCAGTCATTTCAAATGCTCAGTGAGAAGAGCCTGACACAGAGTCCTTACAAATCATGGACGATGAAAAGATGGAGCTATGCACGATACAAGAAATTCCATACAAGAAATTCTGCTCTACCACTGTTTGAAAACACCAATTTGTTCCAACGTGGTCAGTACATGAAACGACAACTTGAGCACAGAGAGAATTCTGTGTTACTTATGTGTGACTTCATCCATGAGAAACCCTAAGTGAACATGGAAGACTGCACCCAGCTAAACAAAGGCCTGCGGGTATACACAAAACGCATGCAGACTCCCGAACACCTAGTGACCACCGCAACTGACCGTCTGTGTTAGGGGCCGCACTCACCCACACCTGCTATTGCAACTTCCCCTCAGGTTTCAGATGACCCTCCTTTCATCACTTACTGCAACCTGTCTGATGCCCGCTGCCACGCTGACACAGCAGGTCTCTCTTCTAAAGTGTCAAGTTCAGTATCGTATTTGTGTATTTCTCAACTATTTAACAGGTGTGAAACTGTGCTGCTGATTTTATTAGGTTCTGACCCTTCTGAGTGTCACTGACAAAGTTTCTGAGTGTTGTGCCTCCCTCTTCCCATAAGCTCTGTGGTTTTCACTGCATAATTTTGCATAGTAGGGTGAATTTCAGAAATGCACATATGGTGTTACAGTAGAGCTTCGTGTAATAAAAATACCATATATGACCAAATAAAAAGCATCTTCTCTTCTCCCAGTGAAAAGCTTTTAAACAAATTTTGCCAGCTAGAATTTATAAATGTTGGGGATGATGAGATTAAAAGATCTAACGCTAATATTACATTTATTCACAGGTTGCACATTTGGATTTAAGAGTATTCGTGTAAAACAGTAAAATACTTTGAGAAATTTCTTTTTATCACTCTTAACATTTTCAAAACACAACTGCATTCCAAGATTGCACACACATAATTAACATGTTCAGTACTAAATCCAAATCTTGGTCATTTAGCAAAGTTCTTCAGAGCATAACATCTTCACTTTATTTTAGATTTTTTTTTTTTTTGATGTAGCACTTTTGGGATCTAAAAATTCGCTTGGAAAACTTTATCCAAATCACAAGAACCCGTGTGCTATTCGAGATCTTTCCTACATATTCAGTGTTATGACTGAATGTGTCTTCCCCTAAATCCATATGTTGAAGTCCTAATTCCTAGTACCTCAGAATGTGACCGTCTTTGGAGACAGGGCCTTTAAGGAGGAGAATAAGTTAAAACAAGTCCCTTAGGGTGGCACTAATCCAATCTGACTGGTGTCCCTATAAGAGGAAACCAAGAAACACAGACACCAGGATGCTCACGCACAGAGGAAAGACCATGTGAGGACACAGCAACAAGGTGGCCCAGATGCAAGCCAAGGACAGAGGCATCCTAAGAAACCCAACCTGCTGACTTCAGGCTCTTCGATATCCAGCCTCCAGAACTACGAGAAACTGAGTTTCTGTTGTGTAAGCCTTCCAGTCTGCAGCATTTTGTTACGGCAGCCTTAGCAAATGGATATTCTAACTGTATTCCTTTATCATTTTCATTTTCCCCACTTTTTGTTAAGAGATGTGCTTATATCCAGGAAATGCATAAGATGTAAGTTCAGTTTAGAGAAAAGTCACACCATCCTCTCAAGAATGAGAACACGTGACAGCACACAGAGCTTTCATCTGTGCATTCCCTCCCCATCACATTCTCTTCCTCATCCCTACCTGAAGGTAAAGGTTACTGACTCACTGTTTCTGCCATTTGGATACAACCAAGTTTTAGTTGTATATTGCAGATGCCTTCTACACTAAGTCTACCTTTTCACTGTCTTTATGGCATATTTTGATAACTCCAAGGGCTTCAATTTAATGTAGACCAATGTATCAATCTTTTCCTTCAGTGCTTTTTATTTCTTGTTTAAGAAGGCTTTCCTAATCCTGAGGTACTAATAGCACTCTCCTACATTATCATCCAAAGCCTTTAAAAGCTCTGTAGCTTTGCCTTTCACATTTAGGTCACTAATCCATCTGGAACTGATGTTTATTCTTTTTCTGCACAGTGCAATATAGGGGTCTGAATTTACTTTTATTATATGGATATCCATCTGTATTTTCAGAAAAAATTTCATTAGTCTTTCAAGTTACACACACAATCAGAAACACACACACACACACACACACACACATTCACTCTCTCTCTCTCTCTCTCTGTCTCTCTCTGTCAAGCTTCATATTTTTCCCCCACAGGTCTTGTACTTTTTGGCCATATTTAATTCAGGAACTTCCTGTTTCTATTATAAATGGTTTGCTATTAATTTTATTGTCTAAATAGTTGTCTGCATACACATGATTTTTTTTTCTAATCTGTTAATGTGATAAAAATACTGATTTTCTAATGTAAAAACTGCCTTTCATGTCTAAGATAAACACAACTGGATAAGGCTGGTTACGTATATATCCATATTCAGTTTGCTAATATTTTGTGTAGAAGTTGTTTATCTATGTTCATAATCAGACTAGTCTATAATTTTCTTTCTTTCTTCATTATCTTTGATAAGTTGTATATTTAATATATGCTAAACGCCTAAAACGAGTTGGGGAGAGTTCCCTCTTTTTCTGTTCTTTCTAAAAGAGTTTGTATAAGACTAGAATTATTGTTTCCTTTCATATTTGACAGAGGTAGAACTCACTGATAAATCTGTGGATATTTCTTGCACAAGTTTTAACCACTCACTCATGGTTACAGAACTCCTCCTGTTTCCAATTTCCTCCTGAAGCAATTTTCTTCTTAGAGCTATGCTATGCTTACGATCAGGAAGCTCAGTACTGTTAAAGATGTCAACTATCCAAACTGATGGATAAAATTAGTACAATTCCAATAAAAATCCCCACTGGCAGAGCATATAGTCTACTAATGGTGAACTATATGGTTTTTTTTTTTTTTATTTAAAAAAAGGTTTTTTTTTTTAAACTTTAGGTTACTTTTCTTTGTACAGATTGCTAAGTAAGCTGTATCTAAATTTCATGGGAATAAACAAAACACAACAAATACCATACCACTCCTATATAAAAAGAAAACGGTGGGAGGGTTTGGTTTATTGCATGCATTCTCAATGTAAGTAATATGGCCCCCAAAGGAGGGAGAAAACTGGTGCTTCCAGGGGAAAAAAATCACCTATTTCAATAGTTTTGTGGCCATACACAAATCAATCCTACCTGACAAAATCTTATTCCTTAGTATTTAATTTCATAGAGGGAAGGGGAGAAAAGGCCTAAAAAGGCTCCTGAGGGAGCAAAAATAATGAAAAAAGAGGAGTCTCCACTGGATAAGAAGATTTGCTGTAAAACTATGGTTATGACAGCATGGTGCAACCACAAGGATAGACAAATAGACCAACGGACTAGAAAGAACCAGAAACAGACACACACATAGACGGCTGCGTTTCTGACAAAGATGGCACTGCAGAGTGGAAAGAATTATCTTTTTTAATAAATGGTGCTAAATCAATTGGCTATCCATCTGAGAAGGAAAATGAAACCTGACTCATACCTCATGGGAAACACAAAAATC